TTGATCTAGTCCATTATTAGCACTATGCCAGGAGAATTGTCAACAATGACTCTTCCAACTCCATATGCAATGGACATGTTCGTATTTATTACATATGTAAAATAAATTATATAAAAATTTTATAATTAAAAGTTGATAGAGTTATTATTAATATTATTATTATTATCATCATCATCATCATTATTATATTAATTTGAGCAATGCTGATGTGGCATATTTTGCTAACAAAGGATAAGTTCGTGTATCGGGTTGCCAAAAAACCAAAGGTGGTGTATTAGACTACCACGAAATAAATGATGATTTGGCTCCTGTGTGCTGAGTCAGATTTTTCGGTGACGTGGCCGGTAAAAAAAATTGCCCCTTCAGCTTTCTGTTGACGACTGTTAAAAGCGTGTATCGGGTTGCCTAGAAAGTAAAGGTCATGTATTTATTTGCTAAGGTTTAAAGGTCATAATTAAATGGCTAATCAACTAAAGAACAAAGAACGTGTATTTTCGCGCCATTAGGCCTGAATGAAATTACCATAATTTAACACAACTACATCTATTAATACATATTTTACAAAAATTATCAATAATATATATATATATAATAACCTAGCGTTGAACTCTATTCACATCTTTGGAATGGCGCCAGCTTTTAGCGTAGCGTTGGAAGAAAAATTGTCACACAACTCTCGAGAAATGAAAGAAGTGGCGTTGCATTGGAGAAGGCCTTAAGCTCACAAAATTCTCCCACCCGTGCTGCCACTTGTCGTCTAGCCGCCGCTGTTCGACCACCTCCGATCATAATTTTTTTTGCATCATCAGATAGATCGTCTCGTCCTCGTTCACCTCATGAAATATCCAACAAAAATTCATTCCGGAGGCCCGTCAATTTCACCGATCAAAATTTCAGATCTACTTTATCCGGTCAAAATCCGGTAGTCTTCTCCAAAGATTCGGCCACCCAGAGCCCGTGTTTGCTTCCTTGGGTCGCCAGCCTCCTTTCAGTCCGTCTGCTGCCGCCTCGACCTCGTTTTTAGTCGTTGGTCGTTGTTCGCTCAGATCATCTTCTCTAAATACAATACAATATAAATTTCCCTTCCTTACATATAATGTAATGGTACTCGTATGAAAAAAAAAAATTGTCTTCTGATAATAAAATTATCCTCTAAAAAACTCTTCTTTTTTTTGTTTTCCGTTGAATAAATTACAATTCGCTTTTAGAAAGAATATTTGGTACAAGGAAA